TTAGGTCTTCTGCCCAGTTTTGGATTGGGTTGTTTGTTTTTTTGTTATTGAGCTGAATGAGCTGCTTGTAAATTTTGGAGATTAATCTTTTTTCAGTTACTTCATTTGCAAATATTTTCTCCCATTCTGAGGGTTGTCTTTTGCTCTTGTTTATGGTTTCCTTTGCAGTGCAAAAGCTTTGAAGTTTCATTAGGTCCCATTTGTTTAGTTTTGTTTTTATTTCCTTTTCTCTAGGAGGGGGGTCAAAAAGGATCTTGCTGTGATTTATGTCATAGAATGTTCTACCTATGTTTTCCTCTAAGAGTTTGATAGTTTCTGGCCTTACATTTAGATCTTTAATCCATTTTGAGCTTATTTTTGTGTATGGTGTTAGGGAGTGATCTAATCTCATACTTTTACATGTACCTGTCCAGTTTTCCCAGCATCACTTATTGAAGAGGCTGTCTTTTCTCCACTGTATATTCTTGCCTCCTTTATCAAAGGTAAGGTGACCATATGTGCGTGGGTTCATCTCTGGGCTTTCTATCCTCTTCCATTGATCTATATTTCTGTTTTTGTGCCAGTATCATACTGTCTTGATTACTGTAGCTTTGTAGTATAGTTTGAAGTCAGGGAGCCTGATTCTTCCAGCTCCACTTTTCGTTCTCAAGATTGCTTTGGCTATTCGGGGTCTTTTGTGTTTCCATACAAATTGTGAAATTTTTTGTTCTAGTTCTGTGAAAAATGCCAGTGGTAGTTTGATAGGGATTTCATTGAATCTGTAGATTGCTTTGGGCAGTAGAGTTATTTTCACAATGTCGATTCTTCCAATCTAAGAACATGGTATATCTCTCCATCTATTTGTATCATCTTTAATTTCTTTCATCAGTGTCTTATAGTTTTCTGCATACAGGTCTTTTGTCTCATTAGGTAGGTTTATTCCTAGATATTTTATTCTTTTTGTTGCAGTGGTAAATGGGAGTGTTTTCTTAATTTCATTTTCAGATTTTTCATCATTAGTGTATAGGAATGCCAGAAATTTCTGTGCATTAATTTTGTATCCTACTACTTTACCAAATTCATTGTTTAGCTCTAGTAGTTTTCTGGTAGCATCTTTGGGATTCTCTATGTATAGTATCATGTCATCTTGGGCAGGATACTTTTGATTGCTACCTTTTCCTGCCTTAAATCTTTTATGGTTTTCTTGTTCGCTCACAAGTTGAAAGAATTCCAAAGCATTCAGCCTATTTTTCATAGAAAACAACTCTTTCATTTCACCCTCATATCTTCCTAGTTTGTACCATACTAAATTCAATTACCAAAATTAGACTAACAAATTCAGTTGACTCTTGGTCATGCTAGAACCAATGCTAGTTAGGAGCAGAAGTATGCCAGCACAGGAGGGATGAACCTGCTAGCTGCAGGCATTTAGTGTGCCCTGGGCATCAGGTAGAAAGTTTTGCAGAGGAAATAGAGGGCCCTATTTAATAATTAGAGGGTTAATCCAGCAGTCTATTTTATGTCTGTTAGCAGAGCTTACCTTTTACTTGTTGTGTGTGTTGGATAATTTTTAACAGGTTATGTATTTGTAAATTCTCTTGGTTGCAGGTAAATGTCAAATATCCCTTATAAGCTTAGAAAACTTTTAAACCTGGAAGGGACTCTAGAGATTACTCAGCTATCTTAAAGCTGAGGAAATAGCAGATATGTCACATGACTTAGCCCAGTACAAGTGATCCGAGAATCCTATCAGTTAGATAATAGAATCATTGAGGCTCAGAAAGACCTAGTGACATTTCAGAACTTTGCAGTTAGTAAGTAGTAGACTTATGGCTTGGAACCCAGTCCTCTGACCCTAAATCCTGTGCTCTTTCTACCCTTTGTGGGCGCCAGGAGTTCGTGGTCTTGTTGGGATGATAAGCACATAAAAGGGAACTGAAATCCAATGTGATATGCGTGGTGACGGACATTGGTAGAAGGTGTGGGGGGCATATAAAAGAGGCAACAAGTAAGCCTTTCCAGAGAAAGTGACCTGGCCTTGAGTCCTGACAGGCGTTTGTCCGGTAAAGAAGGTGAGGAAGAGCATTTCAAGCAAGAAACAATAGCATGAACAAAGGCAAGGGAGGTGAATCGGGGGGTGTGAACCTCTGGAATGGGAGAGTTGGGAGGTGATATTGGAGAAGTCAGCAAGGTTTAGGGCATGGCAGATCTTGTCTGCCATGGTAAAGGGTTTATCAGAGGAGGTGCTGTAGAATTTCCAGCACTAAGGGTGGTAGATAAGCATGTTTTTTTTTTTTTTGGCCGAGCTGTTCGGCATGTAGGATCTTAGTTCCCTGACCAGGGATCGAACCCACGCCCCCAGCAGTGGAAGCACAGAGTCTTAACCACTGGACCACCAGGAAGTCCGTAGATTTGCATTTTAGATCCAGTACTCTCGTGGCTGAATAGAGGATGGAATTGGTCGAGAGGAGAATGGAGACTCTCCTGTGTTAACTAAGAGAGGACAAGACAAATGGAGAGAAAGTGGTGTATCTGCGATTTAGTCAGTAAATCCAGCAGTGCGTGATTGGGTAGCAGGGGAGGGAAAGGGAACAATCTGAGGTATTCCCCAGTTTATGGCTATACCCACTGCCGGTGCAACTGGGTGGACGGAGCTGTCGGCAGGAAGCACAAGGTTGAGAGGTGGGATGGGAGCCATGATGAGCTAATTTGGGGCCTGTTGATTTGAATCTCTTATCTGAGTGGAGGTGTTCAGTAGGTAGAAGAATATATGAGTCTAGTGCTTAGGAGCTAGAAGACTGAGCTGGAGCAAAACATTCGGGAGTCCTTAGTATACACATGGTGGCCAAACCCTGTAGAACAGTTGAAAGAGCCAAGAAGAATAAAAGACAAGAAGACGGCAGGAGATAGAACTTGGGAGAATGCTGTGCAGTATTTAAGGGATGGGCAGCGGAAAAAGTTGTAGCAAGAGATGAGGAATGGCTTTAGAAGTAGGCAGAGTATAGTAAAATCATGGAAGCTAAGAAAGGAGAGGGCTGCCCAGGGATAAACTCCATGTACCTATGCTCACCTCATCTATGATAGAGGAGGCCAGAATATACAATGGAGCAAAGACAGCCTCTTCAGTAAGTGGTGCTGGGAAAACTGGACAGCTACATGTAAAAGACTCCCTAACACCATACACAAAAATAAACTCAAAATGGATTAGAGACCTAAATGTAAGGCCAGACACTATAAAACTCTTAGAGGAAAACATAGGCAGAACACTCGTTGATATAAATTGCAGTAAGATCTTTTTTGACCCACATCCTAGAGTAATGAAAATAAAACCAAAAATAAACAAATAGGGCCTAATTAAACTTAAAAGCTTTTGCATAGCAAAGGAAACCTTAAATAAGATGAAAAGACAACCCTCAGAATGGAGGAAAATATTTGCAAACGAAGCAACTGACAAAGGATTAATGTCCAGAATATACAAGCAGCTTATGCAGCTCAATATCAAAAAAACAAACAACCCAATCAAAAAATGGGCGAAAGACCTAAATAGACATTTCTCCAAAGAAGACATACAGATGGCCAACAAACACATGAAAAGATGCTCAACATCACTAATTATTAGAGAAATGCAAATCAAAACTACAATGAGGTACCACCTCACACCGATCAGAATGGCCATCATCAAAAAATCTTGGGACTTCCCTGGTGGTGCAGTGGTTAAGAATCCGCCTGCCAATGCAGGGGACACAGGTTTGAGCCCTGGTCTGGGAAGCTCCCACATGCCATGGAGCACCAAAGCCCGTGCGCCACAACTATTGAGCCTGCGCTCTAGAGCCTGTGAGCCACAACTACTGAGCCTGTGTGCCACAACTACTGAAGCCCGTGCGCCTAGAGCCCGTGCTCCACAACAAAAGAAACCATCACCATAAGAAGCGCGTGCACTGCAACGAAGAGTAGCCCCCGCTCGCCGCGACTAGAGAAAGCCCACACGCAGCAACAAAGACCCAACACAGCCAAAAAAAGAAAAAAATCTACAAACGATAAATGCTGGAGATGGTGTGGAGAAAAGGGAACCCTCTTAACACTGGGATATAAATTGATACAGCCACTATGGAAAACAGTATGGAGTTTCCTTAAAAAATTAAAGATAGAACTACCATATGACACAGCATTCCCACTACTGGGCATATACCCAGGGAAAACCATAATTCAAAAAGACACATGCACTTCAGTGTTCATAACAGCACTATTTACAATAGCCAGGACATGGAAGCAACCTAAATGTCCATCAACAGAGTAATAAAGAATATGTGGTATATTTACAATGGACTATTACTCAGCCATGAAAAGGAACGAAACTGTGTCATTTGTTGAGACGTGGATGGACCCAGAGAGTGTCATACAGAGTGAAGTAAGTCAGAAAGAGAAAAACAAATATCGTATATTAATGCATATGTGTGGAATCTAGAAAAATGGTATAGATGACCTTATTTGCAAAGCAGAAATAGAGACGCAAGTGTAGAGAACAAATGTATGGATACCAAGGGGGAAAGGGGTGGGTTGGGAGGAAATGGGAGACTGGGATTGACACGTATACACTATTGATACTAGGTATAAATTAGGCAACTGAGGGGAACATATTGTATAGCACAAGGAGCTCTACTTCATGCACTGTAGTGTCCTAAATGAGAGGGAAATCCCAAAGGGAGGGGATATATGTATATGTATGGCTGATTCATTTTGCTGTGCAGTAAAAGCTAACACAACATTGTAAAGCAACTATACTCCAGTAAAAATTGATTTTAAAAAAAATGGAGAGGGCTGAGAGCTGACCACCAGATCTAGAACAGACGATTGCATTTAGCAACATATCGGTCACAGGGAACTATCAATTTTGGTGGAATGGTAGGGACAACAGCCTGTGTAAGAGAGAACAATGAATCTGTTCCCTCTACCCAAAGGTGGGGTCTGCAACGGCTCAGCCCCTTGAATTGGTAGAGTGAGCTCATGCAGTACTGGGGGCGATGACAGAGGTCATCTGCAGCCAGGTCCCTCTGAGCAGACTAGCCGATCGTCTCAGTGAAGAGGGTGAAGGGAAGGAGCCATTCCCCACCCCCCCATAACCTTTTATTTTCTGTAGGGCAGAAATTGAAGACGCATGGAAACATCCCACTGCAACCTTTTACTCCATTTGGGACAATGATTGACAACTTTCTCCCTCCCCAGTCTGTTTATAGACACACATTTATTGAAAGAACGAGCAAACAAGCTTAATTTCTCAAACTGAAGGACTTCTGACAAACTTTAGACATGGCGTATTTATCAAAGAAAAAGAAACTTTCAACAGAGAACCTTTAAATCCTGCATAATCCTCCTTCCTCATTACACATTGGCAGCCTGTCTTCTGGATGGAGAATATAGGCTGTGATTGTCTCCACTTCTTTACCCATTTACTCCCAGCACAGTGGGGAAGCTCATTGTTGGGCAGGGTCCACAGAGTCTGGACTCATTCAGGGACACTTCCTGAGGCTCTCCACCAACACCTGCGATTTTCCTTGTTACCTGGTGACAACAACCTGAATTATAGTTGTGGGCCCTGGGGAGGAAATGAACACAGGACTGGCATTGTAAAAATCTACCTGTTAGTTGACAGCAAATATAATACGAAGCAAGAAGAATAGGCTTACATTTCAGTAGAATAAAGATTAGAAAAAGTTGTACTTTAGAAGATTACTTAAAAGGGCAGTGGACTGTCTTTGGATAAAATATCTTTCTTTTTCCAGAGGAAATAATAAAGATACTACTTTATTTTTTAATATTAAGCACTGAAAAAAAGGGGTAAACTAGGAAAACTTACCATTTAGAATCTGAGAACACATTTTTCAAGGAAGTTAGTTAGTGGGACCTTCCCTCATTCTCATCCCCGATTCACAGTACCTTGGAAATAGGGTAGGTGTGGCTGTCCAGATGTAGAAAATGGAAAAGATAACAGATGGTTCCTGTCTAGCTGTGGTTTTATAGAAAAATCTCCTAAGGAACCAACGTGAGAGGGAGAACAGTGTTCTCGTTTCCCACCTCTAGAACTTATGGTCCTTGGATCTGGGGACCTGGGTTTAAGTCCCAGTTCTGCTATTTTCTGGGCTTGTGGACATAAACTCTCTGAGTCTCAAGTTTCTTGGTAGCCAAAAGGGGATAATAATCTCTGCCTCTAGGGTTATTCTGAAGATTTAATGAGATGTTATATGCAAAACAAGCAACAGACTCTGCAATTAAATATTAGGTTCCCTCCTTGTCCAGAATGAAGATTTGAAGTGGGAAGGAGGTTCCGTGACCTCTTTCCTGTGGAAATGAACTCATCCTGGACTTTCCTTTTCTCTGGGTTGAAAGGACTGACCTGGCTGGGTAGTGCTGTCCAGCTGGTACCGACCCTGAGGGAAGATGGGGTGGGCTGGGGTTGGCCTGAGCTAAGAATGTCCTTTCCTGGCAATTACTGTGCTTTTGCTGCCAGAAAGAGATAGGTTGTGTTCAAGAAAGTGCTGAGGTCAAAGCTATCAGTACAGGTCCAGATGGTTCATGAGGGTGCCACGGTGTGTGGCCAAGAGGTAGTGTGGGGAGCACAGGCATGAAACAGTGTCTGTCAAGGGCATCAGCAGCTGGCCTGGGTGACAGTCTTAATCTCCCAGCAAGTCAGAGCCTCTTAAAGGGCCTTCAGGCAGAACGAACAGTCTGCGGGCCTGGTTATTGGCATCCAGAGGAACTCTAAGAATGAGTTCCTGCCTAGCCAGACCTGAGACATTCTGACTCTATTCTTCCCCACTTTACCTTTTAAGGCCTGTTAAGGCCAATGCCACGTGGTCATCCTGAGCTGGGTAATTCACAAGTGCTTTCTGCTGAGTTATGTTGGGGCAACTGAGAACCTCATAGAGAGTCATGAAAATAATTCACACAGAAGAAAAATAGCCCCTGATTGCTAAGTGGAGCCAACAGCTGGAACTCCCCTTCAGATTTTCAGCAGGTGCTGTGGGCAATGTGAGATCTGTGCTATGACCCATGAAGCAGAGCTACAAGAGAGAACATCTCTGCAGACAGAAGCCGTAGCATGGATCCTCAGAAGGACAATCCAGTATGGGGTGAAGAGGCAGCCTAGCATAGCAGTAAAGGGCATGGGCTTGTGGATGAGGCTGACCCAGGATCGTTCTACCACAAACCGGAGTGACTTACTTGACCTCTTTCAGTTTTCTCATCTTTAAAAGTCAATGAACGTGCACAAAAAATTCTCTGGAAGGATACACGTTTTAGGAGAAGACTGCACAGATGAAGACCAAGATGGGAGAGACAGTTTTTACTTCATACCTTTATACATTTTCATTTTTGAATCATGTGGCTATGCATCCTATTAAAAAGAATAAATGACAAAAATAAAAGACAAGTGATGATAGTTTATACCTTGCAGGATAACACAAGCCTGATAGATAGTACTCAGCTAATTTGCAGTGTTTATTATTATTAACATTAATACAGGGATGCTGGCTGGGTCATCTGCCAGTGTTTTTTACCTTTAAATACCCAGCAGTCCCTTATCATGTATCCAGATTGATGCCCTACATGCACCGGCCTTACATTATGTTTATAATCAATGGTATAAATTTAGCCCCTTAAAAGTAGTCATGTACGGACTTCCCTGGCGGTCCAGTGGTTAAGACTCCACGCTCCCAATGCAGGGGACCCGGGTTTGATCCCTGGTCAGGGAACTAGATCCACATGCGGCAACTAAAGGTCCAGCAACTAAAAGATCCTGCAACTAAAAGATCCGGCACGTGGGAGTGAAGAATGAATGAATGAATGAATAAATAAATAAATATTTTTAAAAAAGCAGTCTTGTAAATGGGTAAAATGAGTAAATGAGTGCCACTTGCAAATTGACTGTAATTTTTTTTTTTTTTACTTTTCACACATTTTAGAGAATTACATTAAATAATTGACAATGGCACATGGCACTGTATAATGAACACCTATGTACCCTTTATCTTTAGTCACCAGCTGTTAACACTTTGGTCATACTTATGTTTCCTTTCATATACACACACATACACATATATATTTTTTTCTGGACTATTTGAAAGTTAGTTGCAGATGTGACACTTTTATCTCTAAATACTTCAGCATGTGTCTTCTGAGAACAGGACATTCCCCTACATAACCACAGTACAATGATCAAACCCGGGAAATTTAACCATTACATAAGAGTATTATCTAATGTACAATCCATATGCAAATGTTCCCAAGTGTCCCTCCCAGTAAATGTTCTTTATAGCTGTTTGCTTTTTGATCCAGAATTCTGTTGAGGATCTTCCACTGCATTTGGTCGTCTCCTTTAGTCTAGAACATTTAAGTAGGGCTTGTTTTGCCTTTCATGACACAGTTTTGAAGAGCCTAAGTCAGTTTCTACCCTACCCTCCCTGCCCCAATGTGCTTCAGTTTGTATCTGTTTTTTTTTTTTTTTTTGCGGTACACGGGCCTCTCACTGTTGTGGCCTCTCCCGTTGCGGAGCACAGGCTCCGGACGCACAGGCTCAGCGGCCATGGTTCACGGGCCCAGCCGCTCCGCGGCATGTGGGATCTTCCCGGACCGGCGCACGGACCCG